CCTCACTCCGCTGGACCCACCAGCAGCCCTCGAAATTGGCGACAATTTCGCAGATCGCAGCCCCCCAGGAACGGCGAGCTACCGCTCAGATCCGCGCGGTGCCTCACTCCGCTGGACCCGCCGGCAGCCCTCGAAACAAGCGACAATTTCGCAGATCGCAGCCCCCCCAGGGACGGCGACCTCCGCTCAGATCCGCGCGGTGCCTCACTCCGCTGGACCCGCCAGCAGCCCTCGAAACAAGCGACAATTTCGCAGATCGCAGCCCCCCAGGCACGGCGAGCTACCGCTCAGATCCGCGCGGTGCCTCACTCCGCTGGACCCGCCAGCAGCCCTCGAAAGTGGCGACAATTTCGCAGATCGCAGCCCCCCATGGACGGCGAGCTACCGCTCAGACCCGCGCGGTGCCTCACTCCGCTGGACCAGTCAGCAGCCTGTGAAAGTGGCGACAATTACACACTGGATGATCTCACGGGTGACGAACGCAGAAGTACGGCGACGAGCACGCGAACCACACCTGAGCCAATACATGGTGTTCCGGCAGCTTCTTATGTTTGGCAGAATCGCGGCGATGCCAGAGTCGCACCTCCGCCGTGCAGCCTTTAAAACTTTACAGTCGAGCCAGCCGACTTGCGTGGTCCGAGGGGAAGAGGCTGGCCTCGATTGAACTGGGGCTCGGTGGTCAGAGCGCAAGCGCTCTCGGCGATCAGGGGCATCCTCCGTCCTCCTTCCCGTCATGCCCCGTCGTCCCTTCCCGCCCCTCCCCTCCCTGCCCCTGCCCCCGCCGCGCCAGAGAGTGACGAGCTAGCGATGTTTCTTTCGCCAGAGAATGTTAGCCCTGGAGGTCAGTGGCCTGGCGCCACGCTATCATATAATGTATCAAAGCCAGCAGGCTCTGAGATACCCTGAAGGAAGGGAAATGGTCCATCCCCCCCCACTTTCTCCTCCTCTCCTCTACCCTCCCTCCTCCTCCTCCTCCTCACGTCCTCCCTCCTCTTTTTCCTCCTCCTCCTCCTCCTCCTCCTCCTCCTCCTCCTCCTCCTCCTCCTCCTCCTCCTCCTCCTCCTCCTCCTCCTCCCCCCCCTCCCAGCATAAGCCATGGCAGCCAGTTTCTTCCACCAGCCAAACGCTGGGCCATCAGATTGTGAACTGCCCTTGCCTTGTTCCATGGCGGACACACGCCTCCAGCCAGCGGCACTGCTTTAGCCGATGTGTCGTGCAGACACGGCGTCATTGATTGATTGAGCCCCCCAGGGACGGCGAGCTGCCGCTCAGATCCGCGCGGTGCCTCACTCCGCTGGACCCGCCAGCAGCCCTCGAAATTGGCGACAGTTTCGCAGATCGCAGCGCCCCATGGACGGCGAGCTACCGCTCAGATCCGCGCGGTGCCTCACTCCGCTGGACCCACCAGCAGCCCTCGAACGTGGCGACAGTTTCGCAGATCGCAGCCCCCCAGCGACGGCAAAGAGAGGGTAAGAGGCGGGAGGCGGGAGGAAGGCAGGACGCGCGAGCAGTGCTCTATCCAAAACGACTGCCCAACCAAGGAGGGCTGGGAACAATACACAAATCGTCCCCAGACTATTTTCTTGACTATTTGTGAAAATTCCTCCCGTAGAGGGACAGGCCCAACTTAAACTCAGGGACCGGCCCCCGGCCGGGACTGCACGAGAAGAGCAGCTCAGCAGCACAACAAACTGTCGAAGGGCCGCACAGGCTTCACGACTGGGTGCTGGACTGGCTCCCCTCCTCCCCCTCCTCCCCCTCCTCCCCCTCCTCCCCCTCCTCCCAATCCTCCCCCTCCTCCTCCTCCTCCTCCTCCTCCTCCTCCTCTTCCTCCTCCTCCTCCTCCTCCTCGTGCTCCTCCTCCTCCTCTCCCTGGCGCGCTGAGCCGGCCAGCGCCAGGAGGACCCAGCGCAGATCCAAGACATGCGCGCGGAGCTCCGAAAATCCTCGCCTACAGCCAAAGATGTTTGTTTGCCCCCGAGAGCGATGAAAACTGCATGCTTCCCCACTGACGGGAAGGAGACTCCGCCAAGCAGAAACTGCTGTGCATCCGCCCTCGGCTGCCGAGCCAACCAAAAGACGCGTCTCGAAGCTCGGCCCCTAAAAGCAAGCCTGTCCCGGCCGCGTGGCCGATAGCTTGCTTTCCCAGATGATGCGCAGGCTCCCGTGAGGCCGAACATGTGATCAAGACAATGATTACTTAAGAGCACTGGGCCAGCTTCCCAGAAGCTTCTCAAGACAAACCTGGGCCAAGGATTCTCAAGAAATGGGGCCCGCTTGCTGGCATGTTGGTTGAGAAACGCTGGCCCAACTTTTCGGGGGGAGGTTTCTTCATCATATGGTCGACTGTACACGTCGTTCATTTCTAATCGTGCTCATGTCTAATTGTGCTCGTTTCTAATTGTTCCTTGCCCCCTAGTGGCCAGGAAGAGGCCCAGGACAGAACAATTCGAAATGAAAGGATCTTGGACCTCAAAAAAATCAAAGAACATCCGAATACTTAGAAATGGACAATGTGTATGTGTGTGTGTGTGTTTTTTTTTATTGCTCCACGGCCGTGTTTTGCCGCACACCGGTCAACCCACGTTTGCGAGATCGAGCTGCTGTGGCCTGACAGCTGCGCACACCTTCGTGGCTTCACCAGCGTCGGCGGAGGTCGTGTGGGCTCTGTGAAGCTGAAATGACGCTGGGCTTCAGCTTCGCCTCCCAAATTTCGCCCAGCAGCGCAAGCGCCTGCTGCCACTGCTCGCCCTTCTCACACGCGCTGATCCCAGCGTGGTGAGTTGTCACATAGCCTCCTCTGTTGCTTCCACATCTCGCTGAGCAACAGCCATGGCCCGCTGCCGCTGCTCGCCAGTCTCGCACGCGTTGAGCTCCGACTTCGGCTCCAGCATCTCGCTGAGCAGTAGGCAACGGGGTCAGCTGTCACTGATCAACAGTCCTGCGTGCGCTGGTCCTACCGCTATAGCCGACGATGATGGATCCCACCATCGTTTGCCAGGTCTCGCTGAGCAGCGCCAGGGCACGTTTTCGCTGCTCTGTTCGCCTTGCTCGCACGCACGTATTAGGAATCGCAAGAAACGCACATGCTGCGCTGTATGCAGACGCCAGGTCGCCTCTCAGGAGCGTCCCCGGCTTGCCATGGGGAGGAGCCAGAGCCCGTCGACGCCGAGACAATTGGCACAGCTGACTTTCTCGCACGCGCTGACCCCAGAGCTGTAGCTGGTGACCCCGGGCACCAATTTCGCCTCCCACATATGACTGAGAAGCGACACGGCCCTCTGCCACTGCTTGCCCTTCTCGCACGCGATGATCCCAGCGGTGTAGCTGATGACGGTGGGTTCCACCGTCCCCTCCCGCATTTCGCTGAGCAGCGAGAGAGCCCGCTCCCACTGCTCGCCTTTCTCGCACGCGCTGATACCAGCGCTGTAGCTGATGACGGTGGGTTCCAATTTCGCTTCCAGCATTTCGCTGAGCAGCGCCAGTGCCCGCTGCCACTGCTCGCCCTTCTCGCACGCGCTGATCCCAGCGTTGTAGCTGATAGGGCTGACCCGTGGACTCCGTCCACGACATCTTTCTGGAATGGTTCTCGGAGGAACGGTGGAGATTTTGCCGAAAACATATAAGCACGGCGGCGGCCAAGGCGGCGGCAGCGAGACCGCGCCCTCGTGTCCGAGCTCTCGCAGCGCTCCAGCAGCTTGGCCGTCGCGGGGACGCCGTCGTCGCCGCCATCGTCGGCGTCGTCGTTGCCGTCGCCGCCGCGAGGCCGCCGTCGTACCCGTCGCACTCGGCGTCGTTGTCGTGGTGGTGGTGGTCGTCGTCGTGGATTGTGGGCACCGGAATGAGGCTGGCAACGTCGGTAGGACCGACCCGCGGACTCCGTCCACGAATCTGCACGAACTGGCATCTGACTGCGGGGCCCGACCTCACATTCCGCGCATGCTACTGCATGCTGCTGCTTGCTGCCGCTTTTGCGTACTGTTGGCAGTGCTTGAGGCCGCTGCTGCGTGTTCTTGCTGCTTGTGGCTGCAGGTTGTTGCTGCTGGTTAATTCCGCTTGGTGCGTGCTTCTACCCGCTGCCTGCCGCTGCTTGCTGCTGGTGTGTGCCGCCGCTGCTGCTGTCTGCGTCGTGCCCACGGAAAAAATCGATGCTGCCCCAGGGCACTCGGAATGTCGCACGGTGGACTGTGCATGGGAGCTCACTGTGGACGCGCAGGGAGCCACGTACTTTTGGGTGCCGTCTCCACGCCCCTCTGGGATCAAACTGTGTTGGGGACTGCGCTCCCTGGAGGCCTCTGGTGTATCTCGCCTCACTTGGGCGGCAGCGGCGGAGGACGCCCTGGAGCGGGGAGGCAATAGTAAAGAGAAGTCGTGCCCATGTTGCTGTTCATTATTCGGCAAACTTTCGCTCGCGCTCGCACCCACGGAGGAGGGCAACGCTCCCTAAACGGCCACTGATGGCGGGCGCTCCCTTCTCCTTGGGAACCGTTTGGGGGCCTGTCGGGGTTTCTTGTCAGCCTTCTGGGGGCCTCTTGGGCCCCCTTGGACTGTCTTGCGGCCTCCTGGGGGCCTCTTGGGCTGTCTTGGGTATTGGGCCGTCTTGGAGCCGTCTGAGGCCGTCTTGGATGCCTCTGGGGCTGGCTTGGGGCCGTCTTGGGCCGTCTTTGGCTGCTCTTGGGGCTGCCGTGGGTGCCTCTTGGGCCGTCGTGGGCGCCTCAGTAGCAGTCCTGGGGCCGTCTTGGGCCGTCCTGGGGCCGTCATGGGCCGTCTTGGGGCCCTCTTGGGGGCAGTTTGGGTCGTTTTGGGGAGCTTGGGGGGGCCTCTTGGCCTGTCCTGGACCGTGTAACAACGCAAAAAGCGGATATGCTGAAAATGCTCGCTTTCCCAAGGGAAGGTGACGATGTGTGCCTCTTTGGCGTCATCTCGGGGCCTCTCGGAGCGTCTTTGGGGCCTCTTGGGCCGTCTTGGAGCCACCTTCTGAATTTTTTGGGGCCTCGAGGCCTGTCTCGGGAACAACTGAGGCCGTCTTGGGAGCGCTCTTGGACCGTCGTGCAACCCCTCTGGGGCGTCTCTTGAGCCCTCGTGGGCGGTTCGACCACGCGGTGGGGCCGTAAAGGGGCGAGTTTAGCCACTTGACGGCCCGCCCTTTTGGCACGCGCTTCTGCCTGGGTCTAAGATGGCGCTCCGGGGAGGCGACTACCAGAGGGCGGTGTAATGACCGGCTTGGGTCCATCTTCGGGCATCTTGGGAATCTCCGGAGGCGTTTTGGGGCCGTCCAGGGCCGTTTTGACGCCGTGATGGGAGGCACCTGAGGGTTTTCGTGCGATCTTGGGTGCCTGCATGGCAATGTCGCACGCTTTGAAGACGACGAGCAGGGGAAGAGCCCAAGTTGCCGCTTTCCTGTGGGATTGGGGCATATGTCTCCGCGTTCGAGCTCTATTAGAGCGCTGCTTCGAGCCCAGATGGAGCATCTTGGAGCTGTCTCGGGCCTGTGGAAGCTATCGTGGGCGGGCCGTCTAGGAATCCTCATGACCTTCGGCAAAATCCACCACCGTGCCTGTGCCTGGGTAATGGCTCAGAGGCGCCTGGGGTCCCTCTTGGAGGTAGCTTTGGGGCCTCTTAGGGGCCGTCTTGGGGCCTCAGAGTGTCAGGGTTTATCCTCGTTCTTTGGCTCCCTCTTGGGCCTGGCTTGGGGTCCTCCGGGGCCGTCTTGGGCGCCTCTTGGGCCATCTTGGGGCTCCCTGTGTCGTCTGGGGACGCGCTTGGAGGCCTGGGCCAGCAACCATCTGGGTCCGTCCCCTCCTCATCTTGGATCCTCGTGATCCTCAAGGCGAGAAGGCAAAACTCATTCAAAAACAATAGAACAATTAATGATTTTGGCCTCTGGGGGCATGCTTCGGAGAACTGTTGGAGGCTCTTGGAAGCCTCTTGGGCCTTGTTGGGGGCCTCTAGGGGGCCTCTTGGACGCCCTGTGGAGCCTCTTATGGGGCCTCTTGGGGGCCGTCTTGGGGCCTCGTGGGGCTTACTTTGGGCTTCTTGGGGGCCTCTGGGGGCCTCTTGGTGTTCCCTAGGGGGGGTCTTGGGGCCTTGTGTGGGAGTATGGGGGCTCAGGGCTCGGAGTGTCAGGGTTTTTCCCTGTGTTTTGGCCCCCTCTTGGGCCTGGCTTGGTGTCCTCCGGGGCCGTCTTGGGCGCCTCTTGGGCCATCTTGGGGTTCCCTGAGTCGTCTGGGGACGCGCTTGGAGGCCTGTTGGGCCGTCCTGGGGCGGCCTTGTGGGTCTCTTCGGCTGTCTTGGAGCGTCGGCTAGCCGAGAAGGTGAGAAGGCATAACTCCTTCAAAAATTATCCCGGCAAAGCAACCTAACAGCGATGTGTAGAAGCATATATGGAAACATTCCCCTTAAGATCCAGATGAGAATCCAGTTGTAGAATTCTCCTGTTCTCGCAGTCGCAGTCGCATTCGCGATGACAGTCGCAGTGGCAACGGCAGTCACAGTCACAGCCTCAGCCCCAGCCTGCCTCAGTATCAGCCTGCCTCAGCCTCAGCCTCAGCCTGCCTCAGCCTCAGCCTCAGCCTGCTTCAGCCTCAGCCTCAGCCTCAGCCTGCTTCAGCCTCAGCCTCAGCCTCAGCCCTCAGCCTCAGCCTCAGCCTCAGCCTCAGCCTGCCTCAGCTCAGCCTCAGCCTCAGCCTCAGCCTGCTTCAGCCTCAGCCTCAATCTGCCTTCAGCCTCGGCCTCAGCCTCAGCCTGCCTCAGCCTCAGCCTCAGCCTCAGCCTCAGCCTCAGCCTCAGCCTCAGCCTCAGCCTGCCTCAGCCTCAGCCTCAGCCTGCCTCAGCCTCAGCCTCAGCCTCAGCCTCAGCCTGCTTCAGCCTCAGCCTCCTCAGCCTGCCTTCAGCCTCGGCCTCAGCCTCAGCCTCAGCCTGCCTCAGCCTCAGCCTGCCTCAGCCCTCAGCCTCAGCCTCAGCCTGCCTCAGCAGCCTCAGCCTGCCTCAGCCTCAGCCTCAGCCTGCCTCAGCCTCAGCCTCAGCCTGCTTCAGCCTCAGCCTCAGTCTGCCTTCAGCCTCGGCCTCAGCCTCAGCCTGCCTCAGCCTCAGCCTGCATCAGCCTCAGCCTCAGCCTCAGCCTCAGCATCAGCTTGCCTCAGCCTCAGCCTCAGCCTGCCTCAGCCTCAGCCTCAGCCTGCTTCAGCTTCAGCCTCAACCTTAGCCTCAGCCTCAAACCTCAGCCTCAGCCTCAGCCTCAGCCTCAGCCTCAGCCTCAGCCTCAGCCTCAGCCTCAGCCTCAGCCTCAGCCTCAGCCTCAGCCTGCCTCAGCAGCCTCAGCCTGCTCAGCCTCAGCCTCAGCCTGCTTCAGCCTCAGCCTCAGTCTGCCTCAGCCTCGGCCTCAGCCTCAGCCTGCCTCAGCCTCAGCCTGCCTCAGCCTCAGCCTCAGCCTGCCTCAGCCTCAGCCTCAGCAGCAGCCTCAGCCTCAGTTGGCTCCGGGCATTCAAAATGTGGCCCAGTTCTGGGAACTCGAAGAGCACGAAGTGGCCTACAGTTGGCTCCGGGCATTCAAAATGTGGCCCGGGAATGGAGTTCTGGGAACTCGAAGAGCACGAAGTGGCCTACAGTTGGCTCCGGGCATTCAAAATGTGGCCCGGGAATGGAGTTCTGGGGACTCGAAGACCACGAAGTGGCCTACAGTTGGCTCCGGGCATTCAAAATGTGGCCCGGGAATGGAGTTCTGGGAAGTCGAAGAGCACGAAGTGGCCTACAGTTGGCTCCGGGCATTCAGAATGTGGCCCGGGAGTGGAGTTCTGGGAGGTCGAAGAGCACGAAGTGTGTGACTGCTGGCTTAAAACAACTTCTGCGGCACCCTGTCTGGCACCCGCCCAGACCCCCCTGTGGAGTCATCTGCTGCTCTTTTTTTAGCCCATTAAAAACATATCAGTCTTCGCTGTTAGGTAACAATGGAAGCAGTAAGGGTTTTGGCCTCTGGGGGCATGCTTCGGAGGACTGTTGGAGGCTCTGGGAGGCCTCTTGGGCCTTGGTGGGGTCCTCTAGGGGGCCTCTTGGACGCTCTTTTTTTATTTGTTGTTTTGATTTGCTCGCGGGTGATCGCCTGCCAATCACTCCTGCCCGAAGTCGACGACAACGAGCGAGGGGCCCGAAAGGGACCGAAAGGGGAACGAGGGACGGGCCCAGGAACCCAGACACAGGACGAGCGAAGGGACCCGACCGAAGAAACAAGGGACACGAAACCTCGAGGGCCTCGAGCAGTGCACCATTCAAAAACGTCCAGGGACGGAGGCGTCAACACAGGACGCTTAAACAACGTTTAAAGTTGAACACTTCAAACCTCCAACTGCTCACCTCCTCCCCGCCACTGCATGCCTCCCCCACCCAATCGCTGAGCACAGACAGGCGCGAGGGAAAGACGGGAGGAGGGCTCAAGAAAACAAGAGGTAGAGAAGCCGAAGCACTCCCATTC